CTCCACCTTTCATTTGTTGTCACCTTGAGTTTTTCCTATTCCCAGGGCTTTTCCGTGGTGGCATTTAATGCATTTTTCTGCTCTTTGTAGTTCTGTAAATTGATGGTTAGAGGCTTGATTAGCATCAGGTTTGATTATTTTGGCAAGACTACGACTTCCATGGTAGTATTGTGAAAACATAAATGGCATTTGAGAATTTGCAGACACTGATGATTGTTGCCTAGAACTATCAATTCGTTTAGAATTAATATTATTCTAAACTTAATATTTAGACTTAATATTATTTTAAGTTCAGACTTAATATTATTTTAAGTCTGTTTCTTAATATTAGGGTTATTATAGATAAAAATCTCCCCCAAAATCAATAAAAATACATTATACTCTGAGTGCAAAGTGAATTATAAATTAATTTTTTCAAGTATTTAAAGTAAAAATTACAGTTGTATTTTATTAAAAAGAATTTTTTTTAACTCTTAGGTTTGTGGGTACATGTGAAGATTTGTTACATAGGTAGACACATGTCACAGGGGTTCATTGTACATATTATTTTATCACCCACATAGTAAGCTCAGTACCCAATAGTTATCTTTTCTGCTTCTCTCCTTCCTTTCATCCTCCCCATTCAGATAGATCCCAATGTCTGTTGCTTCCTTCTTTATGGTTGTAAGTTCTTATTTAGCTCCCACCTAAAAGTGAGAACATACGGTATTTGGTTTTTGATTTCTGCATTAGTTTGCTGAGGATAACAGCCTCCAGCTCCATCTATGTTCCCACAAAACATCTCATTTGTTTTTATGGCTGCATAGTATTCTATGATGTATATGTAATACATTTTCTTTATCCTATCTGTTATTGGTGGACATTTAGGTTGATTCCATGTCTTTGCTATCGTGAATAGTGCTGCAGTGAACATTCACGTATATGCGTCTTTATGCTGGATGATTTATATTCCTCTGGGTATTTGCCCAGGAATGTGATTGCTGGGTCAAATGGTAGTCCTGCTTTTATCTCTTTAAGGAATTGCCATACTGCTTTCCACAATGGTTGAACTAATTTGCGGTCCTACCAGCAGTGTATAAGTGTTCTCTTTTCTCTGCAACCTCACCAGCATCTGTAATTTTTGACTTCTTAGTAACAGCCATTCTGACTGGTATGAGATGGTATCTCATTGTGGTTTTGTTTTGCCATTCTCAAATGATGAGTGACATTCAGCTTTTTGTCATATGCTTGTTGGCTACATATATGTCTTCTTTTGAGAAGTGTCTGTTCATGTCCTTTACCCACTTTTTAATGGGATTGTTTGTTGTGCTCTTGTAAATTTGTTTAAATTCCTTATAGATGTTTGATGCTAGACCTTTGTCAGATGCATAGTTTGCAAATATTTCCTACCATTTGTTAGGTTGGCAAATTTTTCAACCAAAAAATATTGATTGGCTTCTCTACTTTATGCCAAGCATGGTTCTAGGTGCTAAGGGCAGGGTAGTGTAAAAAGGTCTAGCTATATGAAGGCTTGGGCTTATGAAGCTGACAGTAAAAAGACTCAGGGTTTTGTGAGGTTGGTGGGGGATTTTGCAGAGGTGCTCAAACTGCATGCAGAGCTGTTGAACAGTGGGGGTGGTGATGAGGACAGGTCAGTAACCAGGGACGTGCTGGTGGGCAGGGACAGTGGCATGATGCGAAGAGGTACCCAGCAAAGTTTGGGGTACCCAGAGCATGAGTGGTGTTTAGAAAAGGTGATGAAGCACTGAAATAATTTCCAGCGATGATCTATGGTCAAGCCAGAGAAGCCACATACAAAATAGAGAATATTTCGTCATGATACCCTGCAATGGAAATCATGGAAGAACAACACAGTGTATTCAATGTTTATTCTAAGTATGAATACATAGCTACAGGTAAGTATAAACTGGTTGTTATTATTTTTGTTTCTGTTTTTTTTTGTTTTGTTTTGTTTTTTTTGAGACGGAGTTTCGCTCTTGTTACCCAGGCTGGAGTGCAATGGTGCGATCTCGGCTCACCGCAACCTCCGCCTACTGGGTTCAGGCAATTCTCCTGCCTCAGCCTCCTCAGTAGCTGGGATTACAGGCACGTGCCACCATGCTCAGCTGATTTTTGTATTTTTAGTAGAGACGGGTTTTCACCATGTTGACCAGGATGGTCTTGATCTCCTGACCTCGTGATCCACCTGCCTTGGCCTCCCAAAGTGCTGGGATTACAGGCGTTAGCCACCGCGCCCGGCCTGTTTCTGTTTTATTCAAATCAAACTTTTTTCTTCCCAATTCACTGCAACATTTTGGTTTCTGTTTTACGTGAATCCATTTTCCAATTCCAAGTTCATCAGGATGCCAGAGTCCTCTTGTTTGTGTGGGTTCTTCCTGGTAGTTCTTTTCAAGGTATTTTGAGCTGCCTTCCACTGTGCTGTGGAGGAGGAGCCTTTCATCTGAGAAGCCACAAGCAACATCGGAGGGAAGGCAGGTTCTGCCAACCTCATAGAAGTCTTGATTTTTATATGATACCAACCAATTACTCTGTCAGAAAAGGTTGATTAGGGGCTACTCTGAGCTTCTGAACCACCTGGCTCTAGGATTGGGAAACACTTCTTTCAGCTCTAGGCTGTCTATTGAAAGGCAGGTCTGGGTCCTCACATGGGGCCTCTGCTGTAACCTCCCTGCACTTTGCTCCCCAAAGGCAGCTGCATCCTCTCTAGGATTTTCCCCATTGCTTCCTGCATTGTCCTTTGCGAAAATGCAGACACGGGTATCTGTATACCTGAAGAACGAGTTTATGTGTGTATTCAATGAAAATGATTTGGGATCTTTTTCATGACTGTCATAATCTTAGCCAGAATGATTATAATCTGAAAATTTGATACTGAAGGGTTGGAGAAACCAGCCCAGCATTACTGCATAATGCTATGAGAAGACTCCTGTTTATACCTGAGTCAGCAGGTTCATGGAGGCCTCTCTGAGAGCATGGTTTTGGTTAGATAGGCAGACAAAGGAAGCTCCTGAGATTGAATGGGGCAGCATCCAGAGAGAAGAAGAAGAAAAACACAAAACAGTTGTGCCTGTGAGCACTGAAGACACACACCCACACTGCCTCTTACTTCCCAGGGGCCAGAAGGGCTCCCACAAAAGTTGATTTTGCTTTCTTTTTTTTCATTTCTTTTATGTTCTTTCATTTCTCCATATGGTATGCTGGCATCTGATTTTATGTTGCCACTCATTTCCTCCGTTTCTCATGTCTTCCTTTCCCTGTTTTAATTTTTATTTTGTTTCTTTTAAGCTTTTATTTCGCTTTTTTCCCATTTTTTATGAATTTTCTTCCTTTCCTTCTCTTTCCTCCCCTTTTCTTGTGTTGCTTTATGACTTAGAGTTGACATGTTTTCTGGGCGTGTGTTATGTGGGTAAAGTGCTACTTTTGGTAAACAGCTGTACAGAGGAGAAACCTGGAGTGCTGTGGTTTTCTCTTTACAACATTTTGACACATGGAACCGCATGATGAAGATGAGAAGCTAGTTTTTGGTGCAGCTGAAACTATCGTAGGCATGATATTCTAGTTTAATAGATAGCAAATCTTACTGCACTTTAGACTTACTTTCGTTCTGTCTTTTGAAATGTGACATCTCTTTTTGTTCCTGTTTTCCTTTCCTTCCTTTCTTTTCCTTCCTCCTTCCTTTTCTTTTCTCTCTTCTCTCTCTCTTTTTCTCTTTCCTTCCTTCCTTTCTCTCTTTCTCTTTCTCTATTTCTTTTTTTCTTTTGTCTATATGCCAAGATGATGGCTCCTGGGCCAGCCTTGAGTGAAACTGTCACATAGTTGAGGTGACAGATGACTTTGCACTTTTTGCATTTCTCCCTTAGTGCCAGAGAGCATTGTGACATCGTCACTGCCCAGGCCTTCCTCTGTACTGAGACGACAGGTCAGAATTTGCTGGCATTACTGATGCTCTCAGATGAAAGAAGATATTCATCACTAATAAATAGATAGACTTGTTACCTTGCTGGGTTGTCTGAACTTTGAGAAATACTGCAGTTTATTCTTTAGATCAGGTTCCCAAACATTTTGGTCTCAAGATCCCTTTATGCTCTTCCAAAAATTATTGAAGATTCTCAGGGAGTATTTGTTTATGTAGGTTATATCTGTCATGTTTACTGTCTTTGAAGTTAATATTGAGAAAAATTTAAAACACAAGAATTTTCAAGCACACATACCACCTGCTGGCAGAACCTCTGAAAATATCTAATGTATACCTGTGAGATAACTGGATTGAAGAGGGGGAATTTTATCTTAATATTGCTAGGAAAATAGGTTTGGCCTTGCATATCCCCTAAAGGGACACAAGGATGCTGAGGGCCCCCCAAACGCACTGTAAGGACCACTGACGTAGATATTCGGTGACAATTACTGACAATTACTTTGTGGTGGGAATTTCAGAAATGGTGTCAGGAAGGTGGGAGAATACTGGGGACTTTCAGGTTACCAAGAATTGATACCACATGTGGGGCTCTATTCTATCCATGTGTGAGACAACCCTGTGTATCTGAAGAATGAGGTCATGTGTGTATTCAATGAAAATGATTTGGGATTTTTCATGACTGTCATAATCTTAGCCAGAATGATTATAATCTGGAAATTTGATACTCAAGGTCAGTGTCGGAGACACCAGCCCAGCATTGTTGCATTACAGCCTCCTTGGCAAATTCAGCCTCTTGATATGATCACTACCAAGAAAAGCACCAGGGGTTTTGGCTTTGTTTCTCACTACATGGTTAACCAAGTAACACTTACGGAACTACGTGTGAACAATCATATCCTCTTTTCTATTTATCTTGCTGCCTTAAACGAAAACCCTCTTATAAAAATGTGGTAGAAAGAGATCATTCACAATGGAGGAAACTGTGTCAGGTAACATCATTCATCATTTTGATGGTTGGGTAGCTTCCAGTTGGGTGACCCAAAATTTGACAACCTGCATCTAATCATTTACTTCTTCTTTTCAGATAGTTTTGAGACAGCTGTGCCACCAAATAGCCACATCATCTCAGAACCTGGAAAAAATATCACACTCACCTGTCAGCCTCAGAGGACGTGGCCTGTGCAGGAAGTGAGGTGGGAAAAGATACAGCCCCATCAGATCGACCTCTTAACTTACTGCAACTTGGTCCATGGTGGAAATTTCACCTCCACCTTCCCAAGAGAAATAGTGAACAACTGCAGTCACGGAGTGCAGAGCTTCATCGTCATCCCCAACGCCAGGGCCTCAGACTCGGGGCTCTATGGCTGCCGCTTCTTGGCCAGCACAGGAGAAAATGAAACCTTCGTGATGAGATTGACCATAGCCGAGGGTGAGTGAGTACCAGACATCTTGCAGTGTCAAAAAGGAAAGAAGCCAACCCTTGTGGGCTGGTCTCTGCTTTTATTTATGGTAAACATATCTGTTAAATGTGCATATTCAACATTTTTTTAAATGGCTGAATTTAGATGAGTTGGCCATTATTATAGTATTTAGTATTTCTTTGTCTTGTGAATCCATCAATCACAGATACAGCAATAAAAGTCTTTCCAGTTTCTGCTTTCTGCACATGGCTAGCCAGTTTTCCCAACACCATTTATTAAACAGGGAATCCTTTCCCCATTGCTTGTTTTTGTCAGGTTTGTCAAAGATTGGATGGTTGTAGATATGTTGTCTTGCCTCCGAGGCCTCTGTTCTGTTCCATTGGTCTATATCTCTGTTTTGGTACCAGTACCATGCTGTTTTGATTAGCCTTGTAGTATAGTTTGAAGTCCGGTAGTGTGATGCCTCCTGCTTTATTCTTTTTGCTTAGAATTGACTTGGCTATGCGGGCTCTCTTTTGGTTCCATATGAAGTTTAAGGTGCAGAAAGCAGAAGCTGGACCCCTTCCTGACACCTTACACTAAAATTAACTCCAGGTGGATTAAAGACTTAAACATAAGACTGAACACCATAAAAACCCTAGAGGAAAATCTAGGCAAAACCATTCAGGACATAGGCGTAGGCAAGGACTTCATGACCTAAACACCAAAAGCATTGGCAACAGAAGCCAAAATAGACAAACGGGACCTAATCAAACTCCACAGCTTCTGCACAGTAAAAGAAACAGTCATTAGAGTGAATCAGCAACCAACAGAATGGGAAAAAAATTTTTGCAGTTTACCCATCTGACAAAGGGCTGATATCCAGAAATTACAAAGAACTAAAACAGGTTTACAAGAAAAAAACAAACAAGCCCATTCAAAAGTGGGCAAAGGATAAGAACAGATACTTTACAAAAGAAGACATACAGGAGGCCAACAAACATATGAAACAATGCTCATCATCACTGGTCATCAGAGAAATACAAATCAAAACTACATTGAGATACCATCTCACACCAGTTAGAATGGTGATCATTAAAAAGTCTGGAGACAACAGATGCTGGAGAGGATATGGAGAAATAGGAACACTTTTACACTGTTGGTGGGAGTGTAAATTAGTTCAATCATTGTGGAAGACAGTGCGGCGATTCCTCAAGGACCTAGAAATAGAAATTCCATTTGACCCAGCAATCCCATTACTGGGTATATATCCAAAGGAATGTAAATCATTCTACTATAAGGACACATGCACACTAATGTTAATTGCAGCACTGTTTACAATAGCAAAGACCTGGAACCAACCCAAATGCCCATCGATGACAGACTGGACAGGGAAAATGTGGCACATATACACCATGGAATGCTATGCAGCCCTAAAAAACGATGAGTTTGTGTCCTTTGTAGGGACATGGATGAATCTGGAAACTATCATTCTCAGCAAACTGACAGAAGAACAGAAAATCAAACACTGCATGTTCTCACTCATAGGTGGGTGTTGAACAATGAGAACACATGGACACAGGGAGGGGAGCACTACAAACTGGGGTCTGTTGCGGGGAAATAGGGGAGGGACAGTGTGGGGTGGGGAGTTGGGGAGATAGAATAGGGAGAAATGACAGATATAGGTGATGGGGAAGAAGGCAGCAAACCACACTGCCATGTGTGTACCTATGCAACAATCTTGCATGTTCTTCACATGTACCCCAAAACCTAAAATACAATAAAAAAAAATTCCAATTTTCTTACCTGCCACAGTGCTGAAATTTAAAAAGGAATTGGCAATGGGCTGAAAAACATATGGTATTGCCAGCCTGCACGTTTCAGCTGTAGAACTCTTGTCTTCCCAATTACATGAATATTTTCGATGGTGGTGATAAGTTGTTAGAATCCCCATGAACCCCAGCAATAACAAGACACTGCTAGGTTGCTACGGCTGAATCAGGGCTGCATTGACTGGAGCACAACAGGTGTTTGAGAGTGTGGTTGCCAGTTTGGCAGACTGGAGTCTTTTTTTCTCTCAGTCTTTTTCGGATGTGGATGCAGAAACAGACTGACGTTACATCTTAACATTACTAGGAAAATAGATTTGACCTTGCAGATCCTTGGAAGGAACACAGGGATCCCCAGGCCCTTCAAACATACTGTAGGAACCACTGACTTCGATGTTTGGTGACATTTACTGAGTATAGTCTTTGTGCTCGTGAAATTGGCCTTTGGGGCTCTCACCTGAGCAGGCCCCCTCTGCACTATTTGTGTATTAGGCATTTGTCTCTTTTGTCACAATGAAGCCCTAAATTTTGTTTCAAGACCTGCAAAACCTAGATCCACTTTGTATGGGTGTGAGAAAAAGTGATTTTTTTTTTTTTTTTTTTTTTTTTTTTTTACTTTCAGAAGTGCTACTATAGAGAGGCTCATCTGGAGGTCTGTGTGGAAGCCTGTATTACAGTTGACAGGAAGCCAGGCCATCCAGGCTCTCGCAGCTCCACCTCTTCCTCACTGTCAGGACGTGGAAGAGAAAAGAATATTTTTACCTGTCACTTTGTTCCCCCTTCCTCCCTTCCCTCCCCTTCCTTTCTTCCACCTGAGCAGGCCCCTTCCAAGACATGACACTATTTGTGTATTAGGCATTTGTCTCTTTCATCACAATGAAGCCCTAAATTGTGTAAGATTCAGACCCCACAAAACCTGGATCCACTTTATATGAGTGTGAGGAAAAGTGATTTTTTTTTCACTTATGGAAGTACAAATACAGAGGCCCATATAGAGTTCTGTGTAGAGGCCTGTACTCCAGTTCCCTCCTTCCCTTTCTCCCACCCTCCCTTCCTTCCTTCCTTCCCTTCCTTCCTTCTCTAACTCTGTTCCCTTCCCTTTTCTTTTCTTCCCTCCCTCATTCCTTCCACATACTTTCAGCCAGCCAATTTACCTTGACTTATATTAGACTTTTAGAGCCAAGGCTTGCTAGGCTTTGGCGGTCCCTTTGAAGACTCTGCTTATATTACAGACTGGTATTTCTTCCTGTGTTGAAAATGCAGAAGAAGGTTTTGTGTAAATGGAAGCCTCCACCTCAGCTCTGTGTATAATCAGGAGAGCATTTTCAGTGGATACCATCTTTTTGTACACAATCACCTTGGACCACATCAAGCTTCCCTTGTTGCTCTTAAAGGGGTAGGGACCATGGTGAGACATACATTGGACTCCTTGGACTTAGAATTTAATGAAAATGAGTGGTTAGTGAAATATTTGGGGGAAGAAAAATGAGCAGAGACTCCACATTTTAAATGTTGACTCTGTCCTTCAGAGAGAGACAAAAAGTATTTCTTACCTAAAAAAAAAATTGTATTACAGAAGTATTTGTTGAAACTGGTCAGGAGAAAGAAATAGTGAAAGCAGATACCCTTTTTTAGGAACCAAGGCAAGAAAATATTCTATTTAGAAAAATGTCATGAAGGATCATTTTCAAATACATATAAGATCTTGTCCATTATATTCTGAAAAGGTAATTATAAACATCTTAAATTACAGAGAAAATGAAGATAACAGATTTTAGGAGGTTTAGGTAACATTTTAAATATGGTTGAATAACTGTATTTAACTTTTACTAATAAGTAAAAATGTCATTCATCTGTCCAAAGATGACTAAGTTTCTTTCACAAAGCTATTTATTTGTGTGTAAATTATAAACAATGTCAAAATGTGCCAGTGAAATGAAGATGACTAAATGTAATGGTCAGTATTGTTAGTGTACATGTGTTTTGAACAGCTGCTTTTTCACATTCAGTTGACAGATTGGAAGAATGTCAACTGGACCTTGTATCCAACCAGACCTAGTGAAAAGTTTTCATTGACAGAAGATGACAGCCATTAACTGTGTGTTTCTGTTTAATTCCTTTCTTCAGTTTTAATAACTGAAAGATTGAATATAACAAAATAGTTGCAAAGCAAAACAGATCATTTGTGTTTTCTCTGGTGCAATTTGATTATTTCAAGACTTGAGGCTCTCTGGTCAAAAATCAATGTGGAGATTAAAGCAGAGAAACAGATATAAGAAGAGGTGGAACAGATTTAATTTATTTCAACTGTCAAGGGAAAGGTGATTGTGGCAGATTTTATAAATTGATGTACATACTTTTGTTAGTTCTCAACAACTTCTTTTATATCACATAGTATTGGAGCTAAAAGAGAGGTTTTAGGACTCTCATATTCATATGCGCAAACACACACACAGACACTCATGGACACACACACACACAGAGGGGCTCTTCCCCTGAATCCTACCTGCCTACATTCATCTTCAGACAAGTACCAGGCCACTCAGCAGAGGACCTCTGCCAACCAAAAGGTCACGTATCCAGGCCTTGTTTGGTTTTGAACAGAGGAGAAAATGGCAGAAACAAGAGCTGAACTCAAATTTGCTATTGACTTTTTTGCTGAATTAAAAGAAATACATTTCTCCTGTGCTTTGCACTTATGACCTAAAATGTAGAATGAAATAGTTTCAGACTGGCTTTTCTGAATTTGAAACTTGCCTGGACTGATGAGCAAGGCAGAGGAATATGTGCTTATTGACAGTGACTACAGTTATTTTTGTCCCTTAATATCCTCTGGATCTTTATTTGTCATTAAGTGTCTTAGGTGCCACTGAAAGAATTTTTCAAGTCTTTTAATATTAGTTAAATGATGTGCAGACTACTGTTGTTTAAACTTATCAATTATAAAAAGAATGAAGACAAAAGAAATACAATCAGTTCTACTTTACACTGTTGGTGGGAGTGTAAATCAGTTCAAATATTGTGGAAGACAGCGTGGCAATTCCTCAAGGATCTAGAAATAGAAATACCATTTGACCCATCAATCCTGTTACTGGGTATCTACCCAAAGGATTATAAATTGTTCTACTCTAAGACACATGTACACATATGTTCATTGCAGCACTGTTTACAATAGCAAAGACCTGGAACCAACCCAAATG